TATATAAATTTTATGACAAAATAATACTTTTAACTTATATTCTAAGATCATTTATGTATTATTTTGATCCTTTCACATAATACTTTAATAAAAACACAAATTATAACTTTTAAGTATTTTCCCTAAATTTTTACCAATTAGCTAACAAATACAGTATGACAAAGGCCTATGAACTTCTAAACGAAGTCGTAATCCTTCGAGCAGAAGTTAAAAGCTTAAAAAAATTTATTAGACAAAAAGTGTCATAAAAAGGCGAAATACTACTGTGGAATATTGGGATGTTTCTTCCAATCTTCTTCTCCTGTACTCCTTTAAATCCCATAAAAATAAAAATAAGGAAAACAGAAAAGCGACGCCGTGGAAGTCTTGTTAAGGACACCATCTTCCCCAGCACGCTTCGGTTTGGAACCTAAAAACAAATAAATATACGTTGGAGAATTCCTTCGTGTTATCAAACTTCAAGTTCTCTCCTTTCGATCATCATGGACGTGGGGGAGTCCTCTTTCGCAAAATCAAAATCCTCTTCGGAAATCTGGGCTAAGCTTGGTACTTCCTCTTTCCCATGTTTAGTTGCTAAGAAAATGCATGAGAAAAGAAAAAAGGAATCACCTTTACCCTGCCCATTGTTTCCAACGAAGAAAAGTTGTTATCTTTTCCCGTTTTGTTCTTCGGTTGTGTCAATTGCATTTTTATTTCGTCTTCAAAGAGTCAGAATTCGTAATATGGTTAATGAATTTGGGGTTATTTTTATTTTTTAGTTCTCTGAGAAATTGGGTTTTTCAGTTTCAGAAGTGGAGAGACTCTTTGGTCTTATTTACTCGTTTTACATTGTTGTAATTTTTGCAAATTGGGTTTTTCAGTTCTCTGAGAAATAGGGAATTGCAATTTAGTATTGTCTTCTGAAAAACCAGTTTTCAGAACTAAAGGGAAAAATAGTTTTTAGAACTGGAGGCTCTTAGGTCTGTCTTGGTTTGCATCATGAGCAATTTTCTTAATGTTAAACCTTTGTTATAATCATTTCTGGACATTGATCACTTTCTAGTACTATAAAAAACAATCATTGAACATGTTTTATGCCACCAGGAAGAAAATGCCAGATTGTGAATTGGATTTGGCGTTTTTCTTGTACAAAATAGTAATGAGCACAAAGATAAGTTCTGATTTGAAATTTCTTTAAAGGCAAAGCACTTTGGGTATTGTCTGATATTTACTTGCTGCAGTATGCTTGGATTCAAGATATGAAGATGTCAAGATTAGCTCAAACGAAGTTGTGATAAATTCAGAAACCAAAGGCTGTTCTCAAGAAAAGCACGAATGGTGCAAAATAACAAGGAATTCAGATCAATTTTCTGCCACAATGCAAAACAAGAGGTAGTTTGCAATTTTCTTTCTAATCTATCTTCAATTCTTTTATGTTTCTGAAATTTTCAAGTGATGCAAAATCGTTTCAATTTGTTGGTGAAACATGATAATATGATATATATTTAAATGTGTCTTCTTAACCAGCCATCATAATACTCTCTATCTTGATTTGGACATTTATTTGCCTCTCTTTATGTTGAATCTTGGGTATCAATACAGTTCAAATGTAATACTGGTCAATGATATTGTTGTCCAAAGTGAAGATGTTTTTGACATCGAATGTGGAGCTGTAGTAATTGCAGGGCCTAATAAAGAAGGTTAGCATTAGCTTTGATTTGATGCCCAGTTCATTTTTATATTATCTTGTACTTCTGCTGCTAAATTTTATGCGAAAAGATAAAGCCTGTATTCCTTTTTTTTTTTTAAATGTGTTGTTGATTCTTTTATGGATGCAAATTATTTGTTCCATAAAATTGCTAATGAGTATAGTTGCTGGTTATCCAGTAATGACACAATATTTCTATCTTTCGTTCCTTTTTTTCGGTAATTTTCTTTCTTTCTTTTACTATTTTGAATTTAAAAGGAGATTTTTAGTATAATCTTTTACCTGAATTTACTGCATTTTGAAAAGTACCTTCTGCTCATTATTAGAGGAAATAGAGGAAGCATTTATACATGCAAAGACACTTGCATGTGTACTTGTGTCCTTGCAACCTAATTAATCCCTCCTTGCTAGCTACCAGGTAAATTGTGTATTTTCTCACAATCCTGGGGTTTGAGATTATGTGAATGGGGTGATGGCAAAGGGACAGATAAGAAGAATCATGCACTGGGATCCTTGCAAAATGCATGGTAATTTAGGTTAGGGTTGGGTTGGTTGATTTTCTTGCAACCCTTAGGCTTGGGATTATGTGAATGGAGTGGCTAGTATGACTGTAGAGTTTGCAGGGTTTGGATTAAAAGAAAAAAAAGGTTAATGGGTATAGTTTTGTGGTGAATAATAATTTGAAAATACAGTTGCAATAATAGAGAGGGAGAGAAGTGGGAGCAATAACTTATCTCACCATTTATTTTTCATAAATCCGAATACACCTGATTTGAAATGAAAGCCTCCTAACCTATGAATAGTATATAACTATCCGTCAGGATGCTTAGACTATACATTTATCTATTTACAATGTGAATTCAAAAGTAGGATACTAAATTACTGATTGATTATATTTAAAATTAACCAAATGATATTAACACTGGGCATAGATGGGGTAGAAATTGCGATTTTTCCTCTAAACATTAATTAATTAGGTTCTTCAAGGGTTGCATCACAGACTGTTTTTCTACTCATAAAATGGATTCCCTATTTTGCTAAGACTGAGAGGTGAAATCATACAAGTATACAACAAGGAATAAATAATTAGGTTCTTCAATGGTTGCATCACAGACTGTTTATAGGTATATACTCCTTAGTCTCCAGCTAAAATTCAAGGAGGTTATAAGCATGTTTCAGCTTTTGAAGGTTCAAACTATTGTTGTTGACTTACAAGTTCTTAAGCCCTAAACCATTCCCTTAATTACTAATGGGATGGCAGGGTTGCTGTAGGTCTTAACTTTAAGTCTTGCCAATAAAAATAGGAAAAAGAAAAACATGACAAAAGTCTTGGTTTGTTGAAGCGAAGATTGAAATTATATATAAAGGTGTAAGTTATGTAATGAGTGCTTGTTGGTTAATGTTATTTATTTTTGATGCTTTAGGATATTTGAGCTACAAATTCAAAGTAATGTGCGACCAAGAATCCAGTAAGCAGAAGTTAAAGGTGAATAATCATTAACCATGTGATGTATTTCTTTTTGTATGCTTCTGCATTTGTAGGTTTACTGACAAATAACTGCTCTGCTGTTTTACTTTCAGATAAGTATAGATATTGAGCATGCACAATGCAGCATCTGCTTGAATATATGGCATGATGTTGTTACCAATGCCCCTTGTCTTCATAGCTTCTGGTTTGTAATTTGCTTATGCATTTATTCATTTGGCAATAACTTCTTAATTCCAAATTTGATTCAAAATCTACCTTTCCTTTTGTTATTTTCAGCAATGGATGCTTCTCGGAGTGGTTAAAGAGATCACAGAAGAAACAAAGAGGTGTGCTCTGTCTGCAGTATAGAGCAGTTGTACGGTTTGCTGGAAGAAATCATTTTCTGCATAACATTGAGGAGGTAATGTGTTGAATTAATGTAATTTGAAAGTTTTAAGGGTTTAGAGCTTGCATGTGCCTTATTTTATATTATTTTTTTTATCACTTTGATTATTACTATACTGCCATCTTTATTAATTGAATGATCTTTTTCCATCTGTTTCCTCTTTTTAAAGTACTCAGACTATCCCATGTCTATTAGTCTATGATTATGAAAGTTTTTATCTATTTTGTGCTTGTATGTATTTTATTTTCTTTCAGACAAATAATGTGCTTGTCTTTTGTTTCCATATTTATGAATACTTAAATGTTTTGAATGAAATAAATCCTTTTTTAGGGCTTACTACAAGCTGATCCTTCGCTAAGACGTTCTGATGAAGAAGTTGCAGTTTTAAATTCCTATGCAATTATAAAATCAAATTTTGTGAGTTATTGCACCTTCTTTGAATATATATTATAGTAGCAGTTAAAAGAGCTTAAGTCTTTCTTTAGCGTTCTTTTTAATTGTTGCACATCCACTATATGTATTAGGTCATTAGGAGTGGAGAAAGACAAAATAGAAAGAGGGCACGGTTTTTTATGGATGCGAGAAGTGTCAGTGAAGATGGTAATGTGGACATTGATGGTGAGGAAAGTGATGATTGAGGGCCCCATTGCTCACAATGTGGTAAGATTTATAGCTTATTAAAGGTCATTGGAAATTATATACTTTAATTGGTGCATGTGCATTATGTAATGTATGGCCCTTTTTTTTTTTTTAACTTGAGTTTCATTGAATTTCTTTAGGTATGTTACTTCCATTTTAACCATTCTGGTTTTAAGAATATTCTCCTTTTTTTTTTCCCCTAATTTCTGGTAATTCATTGTTTGGTCTTGGTTTAATTAGTTCAATTATTATTTTTAGGCACTGAGATTGGTGGGTTCCAGTGCAACCCTAACACCATCCATTTACAATGTCAAGCTTGTGGAGTAATGATGCCTTCCAGAGTTGATATTAATATACCACAGCACTGTAAGAATTAGTATGTTTGTGTGGATTTCTAGTGCATGTAATGCTAATGTTGTTCCATGATCCTTCTTCCTTTTCTCTGTTACATTGCATGACACTAAGGAGATTGCGTGATCATTTCTTCCACTTTAAATAACTGGTTATATCCAATTAAATAAAAAAAGTCCTATAATTAGTGTCTAATTGGATGAAGTATTTATCCATTGGTTTTTGAAGTTCCAGCTCAAGTTCTTAGCAATTTAGATTTTCAACACTCTTGTAGGTTTGGGCTGTGATAGAGCATTTTGTAGTGCATACTGGCAATCTCAAAGGCATTCAGCTTGTTTGCAGTCAAGAAACATTCAAACCAGTATGTGCTGCTGGTTTTATGACTATGTTGAGTTACTTTGACTTGATTTCTAGTGTCTCTTTGTTCTTATTTCTTTGACTTTCTATTTCTTTTTAATATATTAGAGAATGAACTGCTGGTTCAAGTACCTATTACTATCTGTCAATTACACTATTTAAACTTTGATGCAGATAAGAAAGGAAATAATCTATATATTAGGATTATATTGTAATTACGAGTATATTGGAATTAATTTGTAACATTTATCCAGTAATTTATGTTTATTAGGATTTGTTATTATCTTTCAATAAAGATTCTAATAGGATTCTAACTAGGAATCAAGTCTAATTCGGGTTTTGGGTTTTCTATTTAATGGTTTAACCATAGGTTGTACTAAGGTTATTGAGTTTATGAGTTGAATTGAAGAAGTCTTCTAAAAATCCTCAATTCTGCTGTTCTCTCCTCACCCTTGCCTCTTTCTAAATTTTCTTCTCACCTTTTCTTCTGTTCTACATCAAACTTAAAAGGCAAGAAAATACTACCATGGCATGGCTTATTTTACTTGGCATCTATTAACTGGCTAACCTATTGCTGATAAAAAAAAAAAACAAAAGGCTAACCTATCATCTAGGTGCGGTATGTTTCACTTTATGTGATCCAGAAAAGTGGTATCTTACCATTTTTTTATCATCAAGTTCTTGCTTGAGAGGTGTTCTCCTTTAAAATTTAATTTAATCAAACCTTTTGAAGACAGTTGTATCATGGCATTGGGCAATCACTATTGTATTGTGATTCCTGTGTATGGAATTCATTGATTTATATGTTTTGCAGATAGCAGAACGGACTATAAGTAGAATTCCAGTGCAGGCACATGAAATGAATCAACATGAACAAGATGTATGATGTTTTGTATTTTGTCCCAAACAAACTATTCTTCGGAAAAAATAGTTTAATTTGACCAATATTTAGGATTTTGTAGATCACAGATAGGTGTATCAGACAGGCAGGGAGGACCTTGCAGGATGTTATTGCAGATTGGATTAGAAAGCTGAACAATAGAGAAATTGGTATGTTGGTGCTCTTGATATTTTGCTAAATCATCAAATAGCATATTCTTCTTTCGATTTTTCGTGATGCTATGACATGTCATTAGTCATTACCAAGATCAGGACTTCTGCAGCTCATAAAATGAGAAAGATTTAACAATAAAATGTTATTTATAATGAGATAATTGTCTGGTATAATATATATCATTCTGAAAATGCCTCTGACAATAGCCTTATATAAGTTAAATTTTCTTGTCTGCAGATAGAACAAGGCTGCAGCTGAATCATGCTGAGATGATAACAGCTGGGACGCATCTTTGCAAGTAATTTTTATTCCATGTTTTATCTTGTTTTATCTTGCATTCCAAGCTTTCTGTACTAGAGTTTGTCCATAGCATCCACTTGTCTTTAGATTGCTCAGTTTCTATACTATGAGAATTGGTTCACACTTGGCAGAATGCCGTCATTGCTGTTTTCCTTAATATTCCTTCTTCCATGCAATGTTCCTTAGTTGAGCTTAGGTCAATGACCAATAGCCAATACCATTGTCCTCAGCCTTGTACTGTCTCGAGTCCATAATAGATTTATCATATGTTTGACATCTAAGATTCTTATTTTCAATGCTCAGGATGTAATTCACATCCTTTGGATTATAATAATTTTGTGTAGTGAAGTTCTGCTTCAATTTTCTTTTTGCTGATCTGAAGCTTAATTGTCTATATTCTGTAAATGTGGCAATTGTTATGAAAAGTTGGTTGCTTTCCTTCTGCATTGGTACAGGATTTCATTGCTCAAATATGCAAGTCTTTTGAGTTTCCCATGCAGTAATTCTTGTTATCAAAGCCTTGTAGAATCTCATTGTAAGATATAACAATTGAATGACTTCAAGCATTCAATCCTGGGATTCATGAAGTATGCGGGTTGAAAGTTATTCACTAAATGTGCCTGTCAGCGAAACTGCAGTTGAGCCATCTGTTTCTTCTTTCAGAAAATTGTGAAGAGTGCTTTTGATCTGATCCTTATTGGAGAAATCTTCTTACATGGGTTGATTCCAACAAACTATCTTGACTGGTTGCTGTTACAGCTTTCGCCGTCAGATGCCAAACAAAGGGAAGATTGCTGGTATGGATATGCATGTCGGACACAGCACCATAGTGAAGAACATGCTCGTAAGAGAAATCATGTGTGTTGTCCAACTCGAGGCAACGCCTAGAAATTAGTTTGTGATTTCTACTAGATAGAACTCAAGATATTTAGAGATCATTGCATTTATAATGGGTTCTTTCTACTTGCTTAGTGTGTCCTTATTTAGAGATCATTGAATTTATTCTTACTTTTGCTTATATAATCTTTGATCAAAGACAGAATCCTTATTTTGAAGTTCTTGGTTTGTTTTGGCCCCAAAAAAAAAAAAAAAGAACAGAAAAAAGGAAAAAGAAAAGTGGTTCTTCGCTACTTTATCCAATTGTTCCCTCCCCTGTTTTTTCTAAGGTGGTTTAAGATTAGATGCACAAGGGAGGAATAGAGTAATAGTATTCAATCTGGGTGACATAGATGGAAAAAAAAAAAGACGAGGATTGGATGAACCTTCTGATTCATTTAATAGAAATGTGTTGTGCAATTGGGGTTGCGCTGGAGTGGTTCAATCTGCACTGAGAAAAGGTGAAAAAAAATGGTCTGCGAATGAATTATAATTTTTTTTCATTTCTAAATGAATCTATAAGTGAATTAGTTTATTGATGAATTCTTATGTTTCCAAATGTTTTTAAGTTTGTTTGGTTTAAATGAAAATAAAATTGATATCGTTTTAAAAAATGGATTTACTAGAAAATTTATTGGCCAATTCATTTGTTATTCTTATGGTAGGAAAGATAAATCAACTTATAGAAATCAATTGTAACTTTAGAAATATTATTAAATGTTTTTTTATTTGAACATTGGGGAATGGGAATTTTTTTTTCAAATTGTTAGTGGGAGTTGAGGTTTTAATCAATTAAATTTAAACACTAAAATTTGAAGATGACTATTAAAAGATCGTTTAGAATATTATTAAATGTTTAGAATATATGTCAAATGAGTTTAATGTTTTCTTTTTTTTTCAAAAAGTATCTTTATCACTTTCTATATTTTAAAATATCAGTGTTTGACTTTTTATGTGTAATTTTAGGTGACGTTTTTGTATATTGTGAATGATGCATAACTTTCAGTTTGTGCCCAAATCCAAGAGATTTAGAAGCGAGGGGAGGGAACAGATCCTGCTGTAGGAGCACCATTCTGGAAAAAAAAAATAAATCAAGAAATGACATGATTGAGTACAGTGAAAACATACACAGAATAATACATCTAGATTAAATAAAGTAGTGATTAAATTAACCATCCAAAATGATACACGATTTGATCCTGTTAATCATATGCAACTTCAAAACAAAAACACTGCGGCTGATGGTACAAAAGGAATTTCAACTAACATACCCCAATGCAGGAAATTTTCAATTAGCATACTGCACTCACCTGAAGAATCTCACCTAATGTGTTTTCCGGAGCCATTCTTGGACCTCCTTTCCATAAACTAAGTTTTTGAGAGCTTCCAAGGCACATAGAACTCTCATTAAAATTTAATCACATACAAGCTAAAATATAAAGTTTCATTTTGCAATAAGGACTGCATAATACTTGAATGAAGAAACAACTCTCAGTATTAAGCTCCCCGTTTGCATCTGATAGTTTATGTTGTGCAGTTCGGCCACATGGTATTGTATGTGTTTCCTCAAAATCTTTGGTTGGCCCTTGTCATGTGAGTTTTGGTTAAGTACATGCTACTTGCTTTGTCTAAAAATGAGAAAATAGAATTTTTTTGACAATCTCCTCCTTTGTAGCAGTTGACTTCCAAGTAGGATGGTTGGAAAAGATGTATGCATATGAATTGTTTTATGCCTCAAATGACATTGCAAAATAGAGGATGGTGTTTGCAAAATGGGTCACTACTTGCTTTGGACAATTCCGAGATTTTAAAGACCACAAAGGTATATAAAAGACGATTAATCCTAAACTGAACACAATATCCTAAAATAGTTAACTGAAAACAATACGAAAATAGCATACTATCAAGATCAATTTGGAGACAAATGACTAGGTGAACTTACAAACTATGCCTAAAATCCTACAAACCATGATGAATTCTAAAAATTCAACTTCAAAAAAATTCTAGAAATTAAGAACACTTCCATATTAACTTAAAATCGATTAAACTACTTAAAGATTCTATGCTAAATTAAACTAGAACACAACCTAATTGCTAATTAATCTAAGATCTGGAAAACTACAAACTAAATCCTACATCGAAATCAATAGAAAACAGTTTGAAGATAATAAATTATAGCATGAATGAAGGCATGGAGGAAACAAACATTCAACCCATCAAAAATTGAAAATCACTAAGCAAATTAAGAGGGTAAAACTAAACAACAAGGCTGGTTCACTTCCAGAGTCCTAGAAACTAACAATAAGATGCAATCTTTGAAGGAAATCTCGAATAAAGTGGAAGATTCAAACTAAAGCTATAAACAAGAACATATCTTTGAGTTTTAATTTACAAATTTGGAAATTTGTGCAATAAGTTGGTTGATGAAATCTAGAAATCTAAAATTGCAACACGTTGGGTGATTTTTGAGAAGGGTAGGCCTAAAGAAACTAATTTTTCTCCTCTGTTTTCCTTTTCTTCAATGTTGGGGTGGTTGCTCCATGAATCTCGGCCCTCCTCCCACAACAATTGGCTAGTGGATGCTCCACATTTGTTAATAGTTACTCATGTCTGGCGACTGGATGTTTGATTCCAAATCCAACTCTAATAAAACCATACATAACCTTCCCTTAGAAACACTCTAACTTCCTAATTTAAATAAAACTCAATGGAATAAGAGGTACGCTTTATCCCTTACCATGTGTCATTAACCCTCCATTCACCTTCATCTGGATTGTGAATTTTTCAACAAGCCCACTCTAGATCAGCACCCAAACCCGTTGACTTGACCCAATTTCAAATGTGGCATTCTCCTATTGATTTTTTATTTTAGGTGTAAATATTATGCTTACAAATATAATATGTTATATAATTGATTCTTTTCACTTATGAGTTTATTTGTGATATTATGTTCATTCATTCATTTAATAAAATGTTACACTTATATGCTTACAATCCTACATAGTATTGTAATTATAATATTGCAGACTCAAACTTTGTTTTGAAGTGTTTTGATGTTGTTGTATTACTGTTTTTTTTTTTTTTTTTGTCTTTTTCAATCACAAAATATATAAAATATTAATTAACATTACTGAAATTATTTAGTAAAATAGTAATTAAAATTAGAGCTTAGTTTTTGTCAGTTAGATCTCAAAAAAAATTAAAAGGAATAACACTTTAAAATTATGTTGTTTTATTAAAGTACCACAAGAAAAAATCAAAAAAAATCATTTTTTATTTAAAAATACTCCCTTTGTTAATTTTTAGTAGACTTAATTTGATTTTTT